GAATGGGTGCTGGAAAGCCCACCTTTTTTTTTTGGTAATACATTGTAGTTTCCGCCAAATCACTCTGATCACAGGCTTTTAAGTTGTCAAACAGCTCTAAATAACTTCTTTTGTGTTCAACAGAAGAAAGAAACTCTCAATAGCTCAATACATTTTGAACAAGTGAAGGTTGAGTAAACAATGACGATCCTTATTTAGGGGTCAACTATCCCTTTAATGCAGTTGTACTGACTGATGAATAAACAAATGCAAATATTATATTATTTCATTACCATTTAATAAAAATCGTGATCAAGATCAATCATAGGCATTTAAGAACTCGCTCAACAACACTCGAAAAGCAAGTGGGATAATATTTACTTTGTTTACTGCTGTAAATGCTCATGTTGTTCTGTGCATGTACTTTAGTTTTGATTGATTAATCAAAAAAAAGAGTGTTTTCTTTGAGTAGGTAAACTTAAAGGTACAGCTTATATTTTTAACAGCTTGTATTAAAGGACAAAATTGTATTACAAACAATATATAAATACATTTATAAATTTGAATACAAGAATTATTGTGTTGCTAAGTAAAATATCAAATTGTTTATTGAAAGCATCGTCAATGCAGCATGACGCACCGAGATATCCAACTGAACCAAATCGATGGCATGATAACTGCGAGACCGGTGTAGGTTCACACTCCTAATTTTCTTCTTATTATTTTGATTTTAATGTATTGTCATTAGGGTTGGGTTGATAGCATCGTGATGTCTATCGCCCATCGGCGATGGCATCGTCTGAGTCAGCATCCCGATCTTCCGCCCCGCCCCTAATCGCAGCAGCAACCCGCTCACAAAAAATAAATACCTGGAGCCCCATTTACACTAATACGTCTCAGTTTTAAAATGGCATTTTAGATTGCCCCTGGCGTTTCATCTAGCATTTCTGAAAAGCCCTCCTTCCACACTATTCCGCTGAAAACACACATCACATGACCACACACACACACACACACACACACACACACTGTCATGTCGAACAGCTTATCAAGGATGTACATCTGGATTGCGTCTCACTGTAGTTGTTAAACGTGATATTTAATTGAATTTGTCTCTATCTAACGATTCTTCTGTCTTTTGAATCTATCAGGTAATGTGTCACAGCGTCAATACACTGCTTCAATCTTTTACTTTCACAATTGTACTTAGTAATTTTATCGAAAACCTCAGATACTGTTGGTTGGTTCCTGTTGGTTGTGCAGCTTTTTTACAAACCATTATAAATGACATGGATCACTCGGCCTATTCATGCCAGAGTCTGGTGGAAAAAGTGATAGACAGGTGGTCTTTTGTGTATAACTTTATTTATTTATGATTTGGTTATGGGTTAAACTAGGGCTATTAAATTGGCGGCCCGTGGGCCGAATCCGGCCCCCGAGGCACTTTATTCCGACCCTCCAAACAGTGCGACCAAGACATCAAAAATAAATTTTGTTCAGTCGACACACGGCCGCTATAGTTATGAAGTTACGTGCGTCTGTTCAATAACAGCAATAACCTCCAAAACTGTCTGTGCTCTGCATCTCATGCCTTTAAACGCCACCACATATTCATTGCGTGTTGGCATACAGTCTTCTGAGGCGCACATAATTTATTAAACTAAGAACGCAGCTTCTTTCCCAGGAAATTAGTTTTTTACTTTTGATATTTGGCGCCAGTTAATCAGGAAGTGACTATTTTGTTCTCTTTGACTTTGACTGGCTGCTTTATTCGCAGGTCTTTTATGCTCCATTCCAGTTAAATTTGAAAATGATTTATTCAAATTTAATTCACATCTTTGAATGAAAACATAGCTACTGACTAGAGCACATGTCACTCCGCTGCTCATCCGTTTGCACTGGCTGCCAGTTGCTGCTCGCATCAAATTCAAAGCTCTGATGTTTGCCTACAAAGCGACCTCTGGCTTTGCTCCTTCTTACCTGCTCTCACTTCTGCAGATTTACGTGCCCTCAAGAAAACTTGCGTTTAGTGAATGAACGTCGCCTTGTGGTTCCATCCCAAAGAGGGAAAAAAAATCACTTTCCCGAACTCTCTCATTCAATCTGCCCAGTTGGTGGAATGAACTCCCTAACTGCATCAGAACGGCAGAGTCACTACTATTTAGTCTATTTAACTATTTAGTCTCCACTTCACCTCCTAATCTGCAATCGCCTCTCTGGTTCTACCACTAATTGTACTCAAAAAATAAAAAAATTCCATTACTAATGCTCTCCTACTCAGACTTAACATACCTGAAACTTGCCTATAGCACTTATTCATTGTTGCTCTTATAGTTGTGCAAGTTGCTTCCTTGTCCTCATTTGTAAGTTGCTTTGGATAAAAGCGTCTGCTAAATGACTAAATGTAAATGACTGGAACTACCTGTTCAATAAATCATTTTATCACACAACCAATCAGAATCAAGAATTTTAACAGACAATGGAGTAAATAAACATATGCCATAGTGGCGTTGGTGGACTCACTGTCTAATGTCAACTCCCACATTATCCTCGGGTCATCAGACCATTCTTATTGTCAAACACTGGTCTACGGTCTTCAGAGAATCACACAACATCCAAACAGTACATGATTAGGGTTGTAACGGTATGAATTTTTCACGGTATGATAATCGTCTAAAACAATACCACGGTTTGACGGTTTCGCGGTATACGGTATGTTACAAATGTTACAAAATAATAGAACAGTGAAGCAAATTTGACTTTTTCCAAATAATATATTTTTATTTACTATAAACAACACCACTTACAAAGAACAAATAAAAATAAGAAAATAATAAATAATGTGTCAAAGTCCAAATAAACATGGTGCAAATCCTCAGTAAAAAAATAGATATAAATATTTACTATCCTATAAATAGTTACATAACGAAACTAGATTCAATATGGAACATCCTTAGGTTTTATGTGCCAGCATGGATATGGTTGTCTATCGATATGGATTTGGATATGGTTGTCTGCAATGCAGACAAACAGCTGCACCTTCATTTGCGTCTTTTGAAAACAGCAAGAGCAGCAGTTCGTCTTTGCTGTGTCACTGTTTTGTCATGTTTCTGTGCTGCTGTGCATGCAAAAGTACTTAGTATGAGAATTATTTCATGCAAAATTTTTTTTTTTTTTGCGTTTTATTTAGCCGCGCAGAAATGTATGCCTATCTCTCATTCCGTGTTGTTCAAAAAGCTTGGTCCACAAACAAAAGCGAAACCTATGCTTATTGGTTGTGATATAGCGAGTTTGAACCAATCTGGGCATGGAGGAGGGACAATACATCAATGTATCATGTCTGATTTGTCCGGAGACACAGTGACGAGCGTTTCTTTGTCAAATCAGCGTTGTCAAATGTTGATGACGTAACCGCACTGATTCCGGAGCCTCTGAAAGTCCGCGAATGTTATGTGATACAGCACTGGAAAGCTGAGATTCTCTTCTTTATGCCAATCTTTTAATTGTATGAATCGGATCAGCGGACCAAAAGTTATTAAACATTTAAGAGCAATACTTATTTTTAGCCGCGGGCGGCTGTCTCGGTCTTTAAGGGTTAAAACCGTTGATATGCAATTGTTCATGGTATGATAATCGTGCACGTTCAAATCGTGGTAAACCGTCATACCGGTATATTGTTACAACCCTATACATGATCCAGACTTCCTAAATTCGGGTGCTTGGATTTTCACAGAGATGATTCAGCCACCTTCATCGAGAGCACTGCATTAAAATAACAAGGTTTCCATCACCAAGGCAACCAGCATCTGCTTTCTAAATCCGTCCGCTCTCACCAACAGCATTTAAACAGATAACGACACACAGCCTTTCCAAAAAAAAAAAAAAAAAACAGGTCTGAGATATCAGACGTAACTGTAACCGCGTGTGCAACCCACAGCATTAATGATTAATATGCAGCATGTCAGTCTTGACGACTAACGCAAAGATTCAAAGAGTTCAAAATGTAAATGATCACCACTGACTCGTTCAAACCCAAGGGAAGCCATTATCCAATCAGAGACCTTCGAGAAAAAGCCTGGGAAACAGATGAGCTTTAGAAGATCAGGAGATACTGAGTCAGCCGTGATGACTCACTCATTTGTTTCGTTTCAGAAGCTTCACTGACAGGAGAGGGTTGCAAAGCAGCATATATTAGGCTTTTTTCTTGAACTCTTACCAAAGCCTTAGTCACAAAACTGCTGAAAAATTCCTCAACCTCAAAACTATGCGAAACAGAAAACTATAATGAACGAGTGAAGATGCCAGAACTGCACAACGCATATTAAGTAGCACCAAGCATACCTGCCAACACCTCCCACTTTTCCTGGGAGTCTCCTGTATTTCAGACACATCACCTGCCACCCTCCCATTTTGTTATTACTCCTGGAAAACTCTTGTAAATTTCACCCCGCCTCTGGTCCTCAGCTTTTTGGTATTGTCTGTAACACCCCTTGCTTACCAGCTTTGGTATAGTATCCGATCACAACGGCCACCGGAAACCCCTTGTCCATAGTACAGTTACTAACATGGTGCTCAGCTGTGTTATTTAGACACACACCGTCACCCCCCCACCCCCTGGAATTTCGGAGTCAAATGTTGGCAGGCATGGCACAGACTAACAATTATATACCATTACTAGTGCAATCGACTGAAATGGTCAATGGTAAAGCAGTGTTTCTCAACCACATTCCTGGAGGACCACCAACACTGCATGTTTTGGTGTCTCCTTTGTCACACCCATTTCAGGTGTGTCAGTCTCTGCTAATGAGCTGATGATCCGAATCTGGTGTGTTTAGTTAAGGAGACATGGAAAATGTGCAGAGCTGGTGGTCCTCCAGTAAGGTGGTTGAGAAACACTGTATTAAAGGAACAGTTCATCTAAAAAAAACTACAATTCTGGCTTCATTTACTCATGCCAATGTTGTTCAAACCTACAAGAGACGATAAGAGAGAGATTAAAAAGTGATGAAAACATTACTCACCAGGACAGAGTGCATGCCCATATAAATCCTGCTGATGCACACGAGGATACTCCAGAACAGAGCTATGCTTAATCCAAACATGAATGGATACTGTTGAAAACACAGAGAGGAAAGACTATTTAGGGATAGAGCTCAACAGACATTTAATCAAACAACTAAAAAAGGTTGAACATGTAGCTATGGAAAAAGTTAAGAAATTAACTCATTAGGTATGGGGCTTAGTAAAATATGAATATTTCTTGTATTCTACTAATGCCAGATAACACTTCTTACAAATTTTAAATCAGAATATTGTCATTTACACCATTTTCTCCGCAGAAAGTAAGCACTGGTCAGAAAAGGGGCCTTTTTTAGTAAGGAGGTTCAAATCAACTCAGAGTTTAAACTGGAACTCTCAGTTTTTAATCTCTCAATTCAGAGATTTCCGTTTCAGAACTGCTGATTTAGGTGAATCAAGTCTGAGTAGACTAATTCAGAGTTAAGCGCACATATACTGGGACTATCAATAGAGCTTAAATATTACGACTTACCTTGGCAACATCTGAAAAAAAAAAAGAGATCAGCTTTTTTTTCCAGCTGAACTTGATGTGCTCATGCAAAGTTATTGCAAATATGACTATATATTTTTAAAAAGTAGCAACACCACTGCATCAGCGAAACAGATAGATAGAGTTGGAAATCATAGCTGCTCAAGTTAATGCGCAATTTTACATCTAAAATATTTTATTAAGTACAATAAAAATAAGTAATGTAATGTGGGACGTTTATTGACTTTTCACTTGAAAAAGTTTGAAATTGGCCGTAATTTAAGTTATTTCAGATGTAACTGCATTAAAATACAAAAAATAGGCTACTACATAGTTTCTACAACAAATTTGACAAAAGAATGCATGTAACAGCCCGGTTGGAGAAATAAAAGGATTAAACTCATGCACTGATGTTGCACTGTCCTCCTTTGTGCCTTTATTGTTGCATTTGCCGTCCTTAAAGACTGTACAACACCGTAAGAGCTTGTTCTCCCTTCCAACCAGGTGTTCAAACAATGAAGATGAACAGAACAAAAAACAAACTCAAATATGCATTAAATCTCTCCTAAATCAGTCCTTAAATGTAACATTAGCTCCGTGCATTTCTCTGTGCAAGCGATCGCTGTCTCCCTCGTGCTAGGCGCGCTTCTCCGATCTCCTTGCTTCCGTGATCTGCGCGCTCTCGCGCACCTGACCACTTCCGGCAAGCCGCGCGTCAAAATAAGGGTCTCTATAGGCTAAATAACTTAGTGCAAAGCGGAGTTCAAATAAATAACAAAAACACAACAACTTTTAAAGAAATAGAGAAGTAATTAAAAGCAGCATAAATAATTAACACTGAAACCTAACTTAAATGACTTGGGGTTATTTACACTCCCACCAATCATGAGTGATTATGAACTTTAACCTTTTAATCACGAATGATTTTAAATGAATTATAATTACTACTACTATAACCATTTAAGACTATGTAAACAACACTAAAACATATATTACTATGAACTGTTTACTCAAAGGATATGTCAGTATGTTCAGGCTGCCTCCATCAGCAGGACTAACTTCTGCACTGGACGTTCCACCACAGATGGTTTATGTGGACGTTTACCATCCTTCCCCAGATTTCTGTCTCCGAACTGTATTTTCACTCTTCTCACCAATCCGTCCTTGTCAGTGACTGCCTCAATAATCCTTGCCAAGCGCCACTCATTCCTGGGCAGATCCACTGCCTTCTCCAAGACAATATCTCCTACTTGCATGTTCCTTCTTGGTGTATGCCAGCACTGTCTTGTTGTGATGTTAGACACATACTCCTTATGCCAACGTCCCCAGAATTGTTCCGCTAAGTATTGGACATGCCGCCATCTCTTACGGGCATACACATCTTCCCTGACAAATTTGCCAGGAGGTGGTAGGGCTTGAGTAGGTTTTAGAGCGAGGAGGTGATTAGGGGTTAGAGGTTCAGGGCTACTTGGGTCAGTTAGACTATCAACCGTGAGCGGACGACTGTTTACAATGGACATGGCCTCGTAAAAGAACGTTCGCAGAGAAGAGTCATCGAGCCTTCCAGATGACTGTGACAGGGTGGAGCGAAGAACACTTCTGACAGTTCTAATCTGTCTTTCCCAAACTCCACCAGTGTGGCTTGAATGAGGTGCATTAAAAACAAAGTCACACTGTTTTTCCGCTAAGAATGTTACCAGACGGTTGGTGTCAATCTCCTCCATAGCTTTGGTGAGCTCATTCTTGGCTCCAATGAAATTACTGCCTTGATCACACCTTATTTGATGGACTGCTCCTCTGATAGCGATGAAACAACGCAGGCCATTGATAAAGGCATCTGTGGACATGTCATCCAGCATCTCAATATGGATGGCTCTGCAACAGAAACAGGTAAAGAGAAGTCCATACCTCTTGTTTGACTTGCGACCTTTGCAGGTGATGAATGGACCGAAAACATCCATCCCGCTGTATGTGAATGGAGGGGATGGCTCTATGCGCTCTGAGGGTAAGTTAGCCATTTTTTGCTCTTCCGTAGGTCCACGTAACTTGCGACATCTCACACATTGTCGTACAAAGGAAGCTACAGTCCTGTTAACTCCCGTAATCCAGAATCCTCTTGATCTGATTTCATTTATAGTCATTCCCTTTCCTTGATGAGCCATCTTCTCATGACAATCAGCAATCAGAAGTTTTGTAAGTTGGTGCTCCTTCGGAAGTATCACTGGATACTTGACAGCATTAGGGATAGATGCCTCACAAAGTCTCCCTCCCACCTTCAGCAATCCATCTTGGTCGACAAAGGTGTCAAGATTGTATAGTCTGTTGCTGCGAGGTAGTCGTTTGCCCTTACAGAGTAAAGTTATCTCCTCTGCATATGTCTGCTTCTGTAAGTCCTTGATTATGATACACTGTGCATCGTTCCGTTCCGCCAATGTACTGTGATTATGTGACTTGTCTTTCCTGACACGACGTATTAAACGTGCAACAGCTTGGATAGCTTTGGACCATGAGGACAACTTGGTGAGACGGTCTGACAAACATGAATACTGTACAGTTTGCGTGTTGAGTGACTGAACCTTCTTGACTTCAGGGTCGCCAATTGGAAGCTGCTTGCTGATTTCCATAGGTGGTGGTATTTGCTTTTCCCATAAAACTTTAGGTCCTCTAAACCAGTTGGAAGTGACAAGATTGTTAACACTTAGACCACGCGATGCGTAATCGGCTGGATTTTCATCTGAGCAAATGTACCGCCACTGTTGAGGAGTTGTGGTGCGGTGAATCCTTTGTACTCTATTTGCCACAAACGTGTTGAAACGGCGGGCTTCATTGTTTATGTAGCCTAACACCACTTGTGAGTCAGTCCAGAAAAACGCTTCTGCATCTGCCAGGTTCATTTCCTCCTTCAACATGTCATTCACTGCAACTGACACCACTGCGGCAGCCAATTCTAGCCGAGGAATTGTTGTGATCTTGAGTGGGGCCACTCTAGATTTTGCCATGAGCAATGAACAACTGATGTCACCTTGCTCGTTCTCGAGTCTGAGATATGAACACTGACCATATCCACTCATGCTGGCATCTGAGAAGTGGTGAATCTCTCTCCTTATGATTCTCCCAAAGCCAGAAGGCATAATACAACGAGGCACTTCAATCTTTTCTAGGTTAACTAGATCTGCCTTCCAGTGTTCCCATGCTGATTGTAGATCAGCGGGTAAGTTATCATCCCAACCCATACCACTTCGGCACATTTCTTGCAGAATGGTCTTTCCTTTGAGTACAAAGGGGGCAAGAAAGCCTAAGGGATCAAACAATGAGGCCACTATAGACAGTATCCCTCTACGAGTTGCTGGTTGGTCCTTAACAGTGATATGGAATTTGAAATTGTCTTGTTCCAGACTCCAGTAAATGCCCAAAGCTCTTTCCAAAGGCTGATCAGTGAGAGCAAGATCGACAGCTGTAACATCTACCGCACACTCTGAGGGTGGTATTGTCTTCAAGACTTCCTTGTCATTAGACACAAACTTGTGAAGCCTTAAGCTTCCCAGTGCACAAAGCTGACGAGCTTCTTCAGCCAATTTGATGGCCTTCTCTGTGCTTTCAATGCTGGAAACTCCATCATCCATGTAGAAATCTTGCATAATAAATTGCGAGCCCAGAGGATACAGACGTTCACCTTCTCTTGCAAGATGCTTCAGCCCATAGTTAGCGCATCCAGGGGACGATGAGGCTCCAAACAAATGCACTGTCATGCGGAAGGTTTGAGGCTGTGAATTGAAATCTCCATTTCTCCACCATAGAAATCGTAAATAATCACGATCTGCATGGTCTACATGAAATTGGTGGAACATTTTCTCCACGTCACACATTAGGGCTACAGGGTACTGTCTGAACCTCAAAAGGATGCCAGTTAAGCTGTTCCTCAGATCTGGGCCAGTTAGAAGATGGTCGTTCAAGCTAGTTCCCTTGTATCTGGCTGAACAGTCAAAAACTATACGCAATTTCCCTGGCTTTTTCGAGTGGTACACTCCGTGATGTGGTATGTACCATCTTTCTCCTTCTCGTCCTTCCTCAAACACCTGTTCTGCATTACCCTTCTCTATTACTTCCTCCATGAATGTTACATAATGCTCTCTGTACTCCTGATCCCTCATTAATCTCCTCTTCAAATGTTGAAGTCTTATGACAGCAAGAGGTTTGTTATCTGGAAGATATGGTCTTTTCCTGAATGGCTGGGGCATTTCCAGATGACTATCCTTGTTCAATCTGATATTCTCTTGCAGCTTTCTCAGAAACATGATGTCCTCCTGAGACGTCACTTTTGTGTGCCCTTCTGTGTCCTTGAAATCAGATTCCAGCACTTTTATCACATCTGTGGGAGTTACTGCAGGTATTTCCTTGATAGACACTCTATGACACATGGCAGCACTGCTTTGGGGCTCAAAATGTGTTAAGGAAGGACCTATAATGCTCCATCCGAGGTCCGTGCGAACAGCATATGGTTCATTCTCCGTTCCAAGAATTACTTCTCGGGGCGCTAGCGCTCTGGAACAATTGTATCCTATC